TTTCATGTTGTGGAGGTGCTTCAAGGTCAGGAGTAGAACCAAAGGCGGGAGAGAACCACTGGTAAAAGCGTGGGTGATCAGGCTGTTACAAGGAGAAATGTTAACAAGTCAAGGCTGCTCGGTAAAAGGCGTGTAAGGACGGGAAAGGGTGGGTGGTGGTTCTCGCACATGCGTCACGTGTGCAAAGGCAAGGCTGGGGTGGAGAGAGTTGCTGGAGGGAAGCGCAGGGGAGTAAGGCTCAACAAGTCACGCGGAGGCATGTTATGAAGGATTTGGGAAATCAGGCAACATTTAGGCTTGATATTATCAGGAGCTTCTGTTTGGGCAAGAGAGCAAGGACCTTGAAGGGATCGGAGCAAAGCCACTGTCCTGCTGGTCTCCTTCTGCACCTGGGAACTTCTTGAAAGAGTCACGTGTCCTCATTGTCTTTGCTTCTTCTCTGCTCCCATTTGTCCCTCAACCCTGTGCAATCTGGAAATGCAGCAAATATCCCCACGCCATTCTGCTGTCACTGCTCTCATCATGGTCACCAGAGGCCACTGGATGGCCGAGTCCTACTTCTTTTTCCCCGTCCTTATCTCCTTGATTTCTCTGCAGCAATTGATGCACCGAATTCTATGGCTTTAGCTACTTCCCAGATGCCGGTGACCCCCAAATCTGTCTCTAGCTTGCGGCTTTCTGCGGAGCTCCCGACCTGAGTAACCACCAGCTTTCCAACCAGGACCCTGTGGACACTCTACATCCTCCAACCCGACACGAACCCAGCAGGACTAGTTTTCCCCTCTCCAGCCTTGCTGCTTCTCCCACTTGGGTCCTCTGGTTGGGCAATGGCACCGCATTCTCCGCTGTGGTCCAAGTCAGAAACTTGGGGCCCCTTTCTCCATCATGCCTCCCAAATGGGTTCATCACACTCCCAGGATTCTACCTTTAAATATCCACCGAATATGTCCCATATTTTCCCCTCTTGCTACCACTGCCCTTATTCAAGTTCCCATCATTTCTTACATGGGTGGGAAAATCTAGGGTAAGTTAGGGCACGCCTCAAGCAAACTTTGTTGCGGAAATATCTGTGCCTGCAGGGAGTAGACTCACAGACCCAGGAGATGCATGCTGTCCAGAGAACTCTGCCCTTGACCGAACTCACGGTATGTGAGTTCCACTCTCACATACCTTCTCCTTCCACTCTCTCCATCTGTTGAAGGCTTCCAGAGACGCACCTCTGACCCCCACCGCTCGGCTGAGATCCAGATGCCTTTCCTGCTGCTCTTGATACAGTGCCATGGATGCGAGCTTGGCTCTGTGTCAAAGGCTGCAGGAACGGGCTTAATTTCCAGCTCAACCACCTTTTCTCCAAATTACTTAAGATCTCGTTTTTTTTTTTTTTTCTCCTTGGTGGATTTGGGATCACAGATGGTATCCATTTTGTAGGGTTGCTTTGAGGATTAAATGAAACTGTATTTAGAGCACTTTGCACAGGGCTTGGCTGGCACAAAGTAAGCGCTCAATAATTGTTGGGTACTATTACTAGACAGCTCTCTCTGACGGTCCTGCGGGTCCCCTACACTGTCTGAAAATCCCTCTGACACCTGTTTCCCACCCTTCTGTTCCCACCTATCTGTTTCCCATCAGAGCTGTCTGCTTCTGCCAGAGTGATTTTCGTAAAACGCAGAATAAATGGGACCATGTCACCACCCTCCTCTACCCACCCCTTCAATCTTTCAGTGATGGGCTAGAGCCCACAGCCCTTCGTGGGGCGTATAAAGTTTATCATTATCTGGTCTCCGGACCCTGTACTCCACTTTGCTTCCTTGCTGCTCCTTGTCTTGGTACCTGCTGTTCCTCCTTTTGAAATATCTTGATTTCTTACCCCTCACTGCTCACTAGGGTGCGCTTTGCTCCTTCTACAGCTCACCATCCCCCTAGAGCACTTGGCACACTCTAAGGTGACCATTAGTCCTCTCTGGGCGTCTCCCATTTTCCATCTCGTGTCCCCAGCTGGTGCTGTCATTGACAGCAGGCAACTTTTAATTTTTTCAAGGTAGCTTTGTTTCCTGAGCTAGCAGCCCAACACCTTATGAATGATAGGAACTCAATGATTTATGAAGGGATGAGCTTTGGAATTAGGAGACAGCACAATTAGTTCATATCTTTGCTCTATTCATTTTGTGGGAGTGATTGTTAGAATAACGTGACTCTATTGTGTCTGGCGTGGTGCTTTGTGTTAGAAGCTGCGGCACGTTGTGAGAGGTCTTGGGATCGGAAGCTGTCTCCCACCGTGTATTCTCTTCTGTTATTTAAGCTGTGTGAACAAACCCCCTTAAGAAACATTCCTCTGGGCACCTCCTTTGTACCGGGCACTGGGCAAGGCATAGGAGCATATGGTAATAATACTACAACAATACTTTGAATTATTATGCACCTAAGTTAGCTCGGGAGATCGGCCACCTCCTCAGTATGAGTAAACAGGGGTTCCTATTTAAAATATCTTTTCTAAGAGAATATAGTGAATAAGTGTAAAACTATATTTGAATCGAGGCTTACCTTATCCTCTACCATTGCCCCCTTCAGTACCACACTCTACCTCATCGGTACAGATTGTTGAGTGCCTTCTGTCTCTGAGACGCTAGAGAGGCATTATTGGGATTTAATTCTCCTAACATACTCTGCAAGGTGTCATCCCCATTTTCCTGGAGAGGAAACGGACTCAGACAGATTAACTAACCTGTGCAGGATCGCACAGCATGGTGGCAGGTGACAGAGCAGAGAAAATCGCTCAGGTCTGCTGGACCCCCGGGCCCCATTCTCTGTCCACTTAGCAAATGGCATGACCCAGCCAGAGGGCGAAAAGCTGCTTGCAAGCAACAGGTTCACTGTGATGAGTGCAGGAATGAAACAGCAAGGTCAAGGAGCGGCTGGTTCAACAAGGGAGGGACGGACACAGCTGTTCAGCTGTAGGTTCCAAGTGTTCTGATTATGTCAATATTTACGCCGTTAAGTTATTCATTCCTTCATTCATTCATTTGTCAAATATTTTGGGGCCCTTCCATTTGTTATGCATGTTAGCGGCAACTGATACAAACAGGCAAAAGACCAAGTAATTTTTTAAAAGAGCTCCTACTCTCTTTAGGAGAAGGGGATAGAAGGATGAGACAGAAACAAATGGCTGCATCCGAAATAGGCGCCACAACAGAGCTTGTCCCCGGGTGCTATCCACCGGGCATGGACGTAAACCAGAGGCGGCACCCAGGTTGCAGTGAGTCCATGCCATCCAAACTCCTCCCTGGCCCTCTAGGGTCTGTCCTGCTAACCCCTCTCACCTTTGGTGTTTCTGCCACACGCGCTTACTTTTGGTTCCCAAGGTGGCTTAAATTGTTCCTGCCTCTGCCACGGGGCCTTTGCCCCTGCCGTTTCCACAGCGTGGCACAGCCTTCCTTCAGGAATCCGCGGCCAGACTTGGCTCTGTGTCTCCCCCTCAGGGAGGCCTTTCCTGCTGGCCCTCCCCATTCACTCGTGTCACATCAGCCTGTCCTCCCTCTGCTCCCGGCACTTCTCATGATCTTAAGAGCATGGGCTCTGCAACAGGCTGCCTGGGCTCCAGTCTCAGGTCTGCCATTTTCCTGGCTAGGTAACCTCGGACAAGTTATTTAGCCCCTCTGCACGTCAGTTTTCTCATCTGAAAATGGGGATGCTAACAGTGGTACTCCTACCTCACAGTGTAGTGTTGAGGGGGTTAACCGAGCTTATGTATGCAAAGCATTGACCCTGCCCGGTGTGTGGGAACTATGCAATAAACACAGAGGGCGTGAGTCTTCTTGTCATTTGTCCGTCCAGTACTTACTGGGTTTGACCATAGAGACCATAGAACGCAGGGCTGGGAGTGCCATAAGCGACCAGGCCAGCACAGCCTCTGTCCACAAGGAGCTTACCGCCCATCTGAACCACTTCTGTTGTTGACACACATATGCATTTGACCTGTAGCCTTTTGCCTGCAGCTTATCTAAACTTTTCCTCTTTGTTCTAATTTTTTTTTTTTTAATATGTATTCATTTTTAGAGAGAGAGAGCACGCATGAGCAGGGGAGGGGCAGAGAGGGAGGGAGACACAGAATCCAAAGCAGGCTCCAGGTTCCGAGCTGTCAGCACAGAGCCTGACGCGGGGCTCGAAACCCACAAACTGTGAGGTCATGACCCAGGCGCCCCTTTGTTCTGGTTTCTAATCATCTTCACACCCTGCTTCTTGTCTTGGGATTTGTGGCGCCCAGGAGGGACCCACTGCTCGTGCCTTACCGTGGCTGGAGATAACACATAAATCTATGCCTCTTTACACCCACGTGATTTGTTTGTTGCTTGTAGCTGTGTTGCTTCCTTTAGTGTTAGAATCAATGAGAGGTTTGTCTCGTGAGGAAATGGTAAAAACCCACCAAGGAGATGAAAACAGCAGAATAATAGTTAAAGGCCCACCTCTTGGCTTCTTCATGTTCTGTTGTTTCACAACCACTGGAACTGCCCTTTTCTCCAAGTCTGCCCAACGTCTCCTGTCCTAGATTTCACTTCCTCTCAGAAGTCTTCCCCGATTTTCCAAGACCATGGGCTCTGGAGTAGACCTGGGGTTCACCGGTCTGGTGAGACTTACTATTCCACTGTGTGTAACTGTCTACACTCTTCCCTCCCCTACTAGTCTGCATGTGCCATATGGCCTGGGCCATCTCTTTCGCCATCTCTTCTGGGTCACACCTCGAAGTGGCACAAATCACTTCCTGTCCCCTTGACCGGAACTCAGTTACGCGGCTGTACAGACTGCTAGGGAAGCTGGGGAAAGCCATCTAGCTGTGCGCCCAGGAGGAAAGGGAAACAGGTTTTGGTCAACACATGGCGGTCTCTGTACGTGGGAGCCCACCAGAGCGAGGCAGCCCCTGCGTAAAGTCAGGGTAGCCCCTGTCTACCTGCGGTGGGTCCCGGAAGGGGAAGGAATTGCACTGATCTTCTGTTTTGGCTTTGTAGACAAACACATGTGATCAAAATCTCAATCGTTGCCTTGAGTTCATTGAACAAATTTCCAAAGTGCAAGGACAACTCTTCAGGATCCTCACCACGGCTGCCCAAGAAGGTGAGAATGGCCTGTGCTTCCCCGTCTCCCTTCTTTTATTTCTCTTCTCTGTACTCTCTCCCTGTGTGGCTAAACTTCTCTCGCTGAACTGATTTGTGGACTCTTTTAGGAGGACACAATGATGGTGTGGAAATAATCAAATCGCGCCTTTTGCCTTGGCTGGAGGCCTCCTTTACTGCTGCTTCCCTGGGAAACACTGTTGACAGCAAGGTCCCCTCTCTACAGGTAGGCACGCTAAAGGATCACCCTTGACTTTCAGCACCCAGATCAGGCTCTGGGAACTCAGACATGTAGAAGATACAGCTTTTACCCAGTGGGGGACTCAGCTCTAGTTAGGGGATTAGGACACAGGTACCAAAGGTGAGCTTCTGTTTATAGTCTTGTGCAGCATAACGGGTTGAGGTGTCTCTTCAAACAGACCTGCATTCAAATCTCAGCGTTGCCTACTTACCAGTGGGGTGACCGCAGACAAATGAATGAGCCTCTGCTTCCTCAGCTGTAAAAAGGGACTGGTGATGTCCTACATGTAGGACATTGCCCACACTAGGCATTAAATAGGAACTTTTGGATGACAAAGTAGTCACACCGACAGTTGGGGTACCATGGGGCCTCAGAAGAGAAAGAGACCACCAGATGGGGAAAGCTCCCCGTTCTGAAAGAGTGAAATAACACTGATGGAAAACTTCCAACATGAAAAGAAAACTTAGTTCTCAGAGGCTGACAAAGGGCATCATAATTGGCGATTGATGCTGGTGATTTCTGTGGGAAAAGTGTCAGCTTTGGAACTGTTGAAGCCCCACCCTGGAAAGAGAATACATAACTCGTTTAAGGCATTGGCATCATTAAATATTAGTCAACTTGATTTTATTTATTTTTTTATTTTTATTTATTTTTTAAATTTTTAACGTTTATTTATTTTTGAGACAGAGAGAGACAGAGCATGAACGGGGGAGGGTCACAGAGAGGGAGACACAGAATCTGAAACAAGCTCCAGGCTCTGAGCTGTCAGCACAGAGCCCGACGCGGGGCTCGAACTCACAGACTGTGAGATCATGACCTGAGCCGAAGTCGGCCGCTTAACCGACTGAGCCACCCAGGCGCCCCGTGATTTTAAATATTTATATGCATTTACATAAGTTCTTTTCTAAAATGAAAGCATTTAGAGCAGGCCTTTCTTGGCAGCCTTAAGAGGCCGTGGTGGAAAGTTTCCTGCCTGGAGGTCACCGGGTAGAATTCTGGTTGCTCTTCTATGGTCGTGGGTGGGTTATCTAACCTTCCATGTCTTAGTTTCCTCATTTGCTGAATGGGGATAATGCTTTTGCTGACCCGCTAGGGCCATTTTGAAAATTCCATGTGATAAACATGCAGCAACCACTGTCATAGGGTAAGTGAGACGTCAGTTGTTATTAAGCAAATTTTTCACCCCTGAGGATTTTCCTGTGCCGCTTAGATTTTTACCCCATGGGTGTTATTCTGAGTATAAAGACACGGGATGATATTTCAATGTCTTTTTAAAAAATTGAAGTGTAATAAAAAATGGTGGTATAGTTTACCTGCAATGAAATCCATAGCTTGCTAAGTGCATATATCCATGTAACCCACACCCTATTAATTTATAAAACATTTCCATCTCTCCGGAGCATTCCCTGTGTCACTTCCCAGTCATCTCCCTCCCCCCCCACGGCAACCACTCTTCTGATTTTTATCATTCTAAAATTTTTTTTTAACATTTATTTATTTTTGAGAGACAGAGCACAAGCAGGGGAGGGGCAGAGAGAGAGAGGGAGACACAGAATCCAAAGCAGGCTCCAGGCTCTGAGCTGTCAGCACAGAGCCCGACGTGGGGCTCGGACCCACGAACTGTGAGATCATGACCTGAGCTGAAGCCGGACACCCAACCGACTGAGCCACCCAGGCGCCCTATGATTTTTATCATTCAAATTAATTTTGCCTGCAGTAGAACTGCATATAAATGGACCTATCCACGCGTGTTCTTTGCTGCTTGATTTCTTTGGCTCAGCATAATGTGTTGCAACCCATCATGCTGTTTCCTGTATTCAAGCCTATTTTGATTTGTGTATCATTCCAGGACACGTTTGATAAGGAGAGACATAAAGATCGAGATCGGGACATGGAGCAATTAGACTCTGAGTTGAATTCAACTCGTAATCAACTCAACCAGGTTCAAGACGAGTAAGAGGAATGCAAGTTATCTTTTTTCCAAGAAGAATTGTTCTTAATTTTTAAGTTTAAAGGGAAAATAATGGCTTTTGTAAAATGTAGACAAATAACTAGTGTGCAAATAACTAGTGTGTGTGTGTGTGTGTGTGAGAGAGAGAGAGAGAGAGAGAGAGAGAAGGAGAAAGAGAGAGAGAGAGGAGGGGGCCCTACCTCTCTCTCCACCCTCATCTCCTGCCAAGGTCTCCTCCGCTAGTCTGTTGTCTACTCACCCTGAAGCCTTTGCCTGCGCTCCTTCATAAACATGGAAGCCTTCCTTTGGTTCTTTGCATAGCTCGTTCTTTATCTTTCAGGTCTCAGCTGAAAGGAGATTTTTCTCAGAGTCTGTCTGTGACCATGTATATCGAAAGGTCTTCGTTTCCCCCTCTGTAGTTCTCTTTCACAATGATCTGAGACTAGCACTTACCACCACTTGGAACGTTAAAACATTTCTTTGCACGTTTATGATCCACTTGGCTGGAAGGTCCAAAGGGGTGCTGTCTTGTATTTGCTCTTCTGATATTTGCTATCTGCTATACTTGCTGTATCTCCATCACCCAACATCATGCCTGCCACGTGGTACGTTCTCAATGAATGAATAAATCCCTAATTAAAAAAAAATATGTTAACTTGCTTAAAGTAATGCTTGGCTCATGAATGTATCTCCCTTTCTTCTCTCTGTATATCATTCAAGCTGCCAAATTACCATGTATACTTGCTTGTATGTACACGTACAGGTGTTCACACCTGTGTGCCGTGTCTTAAGAGAAAAAAAAAATCACTACTTTATTCCTTTTTCATATTCTCCTTCCTTTCTTGGTATTTTTGCTTCTTTTAATTTTCTGCCATCTTCTTTGGACAAAAATGTTCACTTTTTTCTCCACGTATACTTTTAAAAAACCTGTAACATATTCACCTGTGAATGAAATCACAGCAATTTCCTTTCAATCTCCAGTAGCCTTATTGTGAAGTTATTGCTACTTTGGCTTTTTTTTTTTTTAAAGATTTTAGACATTTTGCTCATTCATTCATTTTTCATCTTGAAAAATATCTACTCTGTTACAGGCATTGTTTTAGGTGCTGGGGATAAAAAGGTGAATAAAAAAAGTTCTTGCCCTTACGTGGTTCATGGTATGTTTGTAATGAGACTGTGTGAACCAAGTGTTGGAGGTCTCAGGAGAAAAGGAGACACACTTTGCTCGAAAGAGTCAAGGGTGGCATTTGCATGGGCATTCATAGGATGAGTGGGTTCTTGTTAGGAGAGGAGTAGGAGGAGGAGACCCAAAGGAATGTTGGGTAATCACACTACCTCCTGTTATTGCCTGATTGGCTGGGATCTGTGGGGACTTGGTAGCAATCCCACTAGCTCATTATTTCTCAATCTGCTTCACTGTCTAGGGGAGAATCCCAGTGTTGGACCCTCCCTTCTTCCATCTAAAGGGAAGGAAGAAGACAGGTGTGAGTGTAGATAGCAATTGCACTCTCTTAGCCCCAGGACGACTATGAAGAAAGAGCCTGGATATTACAGGGAAGTAGGGTCAGAGAAGTCAAGAGACCTTTGCCAACCTATGATCTCTCACTGGACTAGGGCAACTTAATTGAGAACCACTGGTCTCCATCCAATGTGATCCGCACACTCCCATTTCTTTTTTAATTTTAGATAGACCTAAAGACGTAATATGATTTATTATGATTTGCCTACAATGGAGAGAGTCCTTGAAACTAACAGTGACCTAGCTATGTTGAAAACTCAGGAAACTCGTGCTCAATATGTGGCGCGAGTCAGAGGCAGGATGACATGGAATGCTCGGTAGTTAAGTGTGATTGTGGAAGACTTTCTTTGTAGGTGGGCAAATAATGTTTTCTTCATATTTAGGAAGTCAGGGACAATTAAGTCAAACGCAACTCTACGGTGCAAAGTAATGAGCACACTGCAGAAAATGGTATTCGTATATTGCAAATTAGCATGAGTCTATTGCAGGAAATGGAGACCTTATGGGGAGACACAGCCTGAGGATTTGGTGTAATTAGAGCAGATGAATCAGGAGGGTGAGAAGGAGGAGGTGAACAACTTTCTTTGTCCTTTACAGTCTAATGTTAATATTTATTACCTAGTCTTTTAGTGGTAGTAGCTCTGTAATGTCTTTGTGTCTGACATTCAAAAGAATACTAGCATGTTTGTGCATAATATTTGCAATAGCATCTGATTGAATGCAGATGTCTCACAATTTGATCTTGTTTATGTTCAATTTATATCATATGCCAAAAGTTCCCAGGAGAACCTATATCTTGATTCAGAAAGTCTGCCGATTTTGGAAAATCTGTCTTTAGTTATACTGATTTCTCTTACAGTCTGGCTGAAACTGAAAAGACTCTTGAAGAAACCAAGAACAGATCGGCCATATCCCTTCTGGCTGCAGAGGAGGAAATAAATCAGCTAAGAAAGCAGTAAGGGGAAAAAAAAAAAGACAGGATTACGGCAGCCTCTGATTGATCATTGAATTTAGCTTTTCGGTGCTTCGTTACAATATGAAAGAAGCTATTCACAAAGAAAAGGCAGCAATATTTTTATTAATGTTTTATATACTTTCGCTTACCACAAAAACATTACCTATCTACTATAGAACATTTTCTTTCTTTTTTAAATTTAGTTTTTCAAATTTACATCCCAGTTAATTAGCACATAGTGCAATAATGATTTCAGGAGTCGAACCCAGTGATTCATCCGCTACGTATAATACCCAGTGCTCATCCCAACAAGTGTCTTCCTTAAAGCCCCTTGCCCATTTAGCCCACGTTCCCCACTCTCAACTCCTCCAGCAACCCTCAATTTGTTCTCTGTATTTAAGAGTTTCTTCTGTTTTGTCCCCCTCCCTGTTTTTATATTATTTTTGCTTCCCTTCCCTTATGTTCATCTGTTTCGTCTCTTAAATTCCACATGAGTGAAGTCATATGATACTTGTCTTTCTCTGACTGATTTTACTTAGCATAATATACTACGTTCCATCCATGTAGCTGCAAATGGCAAGATTTAATTCTTTTTGATTGCTGAGTAATACTCCATTGTGTGTGTGTGTGTGTGTGTGTGTGTGTGTGTGTGTGTGTATATATATATATATATATACCACATCTTCTTTATCCATTCATCCATCGATGGACATTTGGGCTCTTTCCATACTTTGGCTATTGTTGATAGTGCTGCTATAAACATGGGGGTGCATGTGCCCCTTCCAAACAGCACACTTTTATCCCTTGGATAAATACCTAGTAGTGCAAGTGCTGGGTCGTAGGGTTGTTCTATTTTGCCCTTTGCTCATTGCCCCACCCTTCTCCCCTTTGACAACCACCAGTGTGTTCTCTGTATTTATGGTCTGTTACTGTTTTTTGTTTGTTACTCATTTGTTTGTTTTCAAATTCCACATATAAGTTAAATCTTCTGGTATTTGTCTTTCTGTCTTATTTCACTTAGAATGATACTCTCTAGGCCCATCCATGTTGTCACAAACGGCAAGATCTAGTTCTTTTTTTGTGGCTGAGTAGTAATATTCCATTATATATATATATATATGTGTGTGTGTGTGTGTGTGTGTATATACACATATATGCATATATATATACACATATATATACATATATGTGTATATATATATACATATATATATATACATATATATGTGTGTATATATATATGCCACATCTTTATCCATTCATCTATCAGTGGACACTTTGGTTGCTTCCATATCTTGGCTATTGTACATAATGCTGCAATAAACATAGGGTTACATGTATCTTTTCAAATTAATGTTTAGTTTTCTTTGGGCAAATACCCCGTAGTGGAATTTACTAGACCATAAGGTATTTCAAGTTTTAATTTTTTGAGGAATCTTCATATTGTTTTCCACACTGGCTGCACCAGTTTACATTCTCACCAATAATGCACAAGGCTTCCTTTTTCCACACATCCTTGTCAACACTTGTTCTGTCTTGTCTTTTTGATTCTAGCCATTCTGACAGGTGTAAGGTGATATAGCTTCCTTGATATTATTTTTGATTTCCCCCCCCCCCAGAAAGGAAGTGGGAGTTGTGTTAAAACACACACACACACACACACACACACACACACACACACACACAAATACCTTTCTGTTGCCTTCAAACATGTTCCATTGTTCTGATTTCTTCAGGAACACCTCCACACTATAGCTGGGAGTAGTGGTCAATTTTCCACTTCTATCTCCCCTCTTGCCTTGGTTTTCATCTCTTATTTCCTATTTGAAAGACCTTCTCAAATTCTGTGATCATATAACTCAGTGATTTCCAGTAGCAGCGATTCTGTTCTTTACTGTTGCCAGTGCAGCTCTTAATTCTGCTATTACATTTCTAGCTTCTCTGTGTACTTCTCTCGTTTTTCTGGCATTATTTTTTATTTTTTCAATTATTTGTTTACAGTGTAGTCTTGGCTTCAGGAGTAGAACCCAGTGATTGATCTCTTATATGTGACACCCAGTGCTCTTCCTGAAAAGTTCCCTCTTTAATGCCCATCACGCATTTAGCCCATCCCCCTACTCCCCTGCCCTCCAGTAACCCTCAGCTTTTTCTCTGTATTTAAGAGTCTCTTACAGTTTGCCTCCCTCTTAACCTTAGCCCTTGTCTTTTCACCTTCTATCACCGTCCTTTTCATCACAGCACATACTCTTTGTATGGCTTTGCTACTGTTTTAGTCACACCTGTTTTTATCTTTATAAGAATGCCAATTGTATTTCTGAAGCTTTGTCTCTAGAATACATTATTTTTACAAGTTCACTGTTCCACCTAGTATTGTGGGTCTTGTGCAATCTCTATTGTTATCCACCCCCCCCCCCCCAGCCATATCCATCTGTTCAGAGAGTCAAAGAGCTAATGAAGATAAGACCAGCTTCTGGCCCTAGGTTTGGGAGGTCAAGTGCTTCCAGAGTTCTGTGTGGGACCAGCCAAATGTAGAACAGGAGGACTATAGGTGCACTCTGCTTTTGTCGGAGGATCTGTGTGCATATTCTTTTTTCAGCAATCTCTTTTCATGCAAGTGGAGGGGGGGGGCGGGTAGCATTCTGACCCTGGCAATTCTGCTCTTTTCTGATTTGTGTTTGTGCCTGTGTATTTCCATCGGAGTTGTCCAATGCGGTAACGGGCATACTAAGCAGAGCAGCCTCGGTCATTAGGTATGCCAGTTGTTATTACCTTTCCTCATCTCTGCTTCCCTCTCTTTTCTTTCTTCCTTTATTTTTTTTATTTAAAAAAATTTTTTTTAACATTTATTTATTTTTGAGAGACACAGTGCGAGCAGGGAAGCAGTAGAGAGGGAGAGAGAATCTGAAGCAGGTTCCAGGCTCTGAGCTGTCAGCACAGAGCCTATTGTGGGGGCTCGAACCTGCGAACTGTGAGAATTGTGAGATCATGACCTGAGCTGAAGTCGGACACTTAACCGACTGAGCCACCCACGCGCCCCTCCACCTTGATTTTTGTTTGCAGGCTTAAATCTCTTCAGGCCCAGGAGGAAAGCCGCCACAAAAACTTAGAACACAGAAGCCCAGAGCACTGGAGTGTGGACTCCAGAAGCTCGGAGCCCAGGACCTCAGAGCAGAGGAAGTTGGAGCAGCGGGTCCTGGACAAGAGGAGCACAGAACACCGGGCCGAAGTGATATCCGATTATGAGAAACAGCTTCAGACGCTGAAGGACGAGATAGCGGTTTTGTCCGCTGAAAAATCTGTACTCCGAGGAAGGTCGGACAAATTCTTATAGATCTTTTCATTTAAGCTCCTTTCGGTAGCGGTCCAAGGGTGGCTGGGAAAAAACGTGGAATGACAACCTGAACCCAAACCCCTCCAATCCGGGAAACTGAATTGTGAAGGGACTGTGTGCTCGAACTGCGCCCTTCCAGAGAGAGGAAATGCCTCCTGGATTGCCAGAGCTCGAGCACCAGTTAATTTGGGGCTGACATTGAAGCCCAAGGAATGAAACTGAGAGATATGTGAGGGGAAAGTTCTTTGGCTTGAAAGCCGATCTGGGTGGGCCTTTAATGTATGGGTGGTGCCCTGGCTGAAAGAATGTTCCCTGATATGAGGGTCCTGTTCTCTGAGGCCTGGGAGTCCTCTCTCTGGGATGATGACCTGTCACTTTACTTGCTGTATCTCACTCTGTTTCATGGAGCGTGTTGGTAAGTGTTCTTGTGACATCCGTTTCTACTGACGGACAGAATGCTAAGACCCGTCATTCAGAGTTAACTGAGGACAAAGCAGGATGTTTGTCTTGGAGCATTTTTCCTTGTTCTTTTTTTTTTTTTTTTAAGTTTATTAATTTATTTTGAGGGAGAGGGGAGAGAGAGAGAGAGGGAGAAAGAGAGAGAGAAGGAGAAAGAGAGAGAGAGAGAGAGAGAGAGAGAATCCCAAGCAGGCTCTGCACTGACAGCAGAAAGTCCAATGTAGGTCTCGAACTCATAAACCATGCGATTATGACCTGAACCGAAGTCAGATGCTTGACCCACTGAGCCACCCAGGTGCCCCTGGTTGTTCTTTTTAACACCTGTGACCTCCCTCAGCCCCACGGAGTGGCCTGACTCAGGCTAGCAAAGCCACTCCCACACCTGGTCCCCATTCCCCTAAATGCCACCTTAGTTTTCCAGTTTTGAGAGTCACTCCGTTATGTTGTGGTGGCACCAGCTTGTACTGGCCCCCAGGAACTGATTCTGTGCATTTCTGCCTAATAACTCCCAGTTCGGGGTGATGTCACATTAACAGCTTGAAACTGGCCACCATGGGAATTATTTCTTGCACCATGGAAATCGTCAGACAGACTGCCATTGACAGAAGGAAGCAACAGCTTCCTTCTCCACCTTCAGAGAGGGATTTGTATTACCATTTGCTTCACAGTTTCTTCCGTAACACTTCCCTCTCTGGGGGCCCCTTTCCTTTGACAATTTATACTTGATAGCAATACGTTTCACTGATAACAGGGCTCTACCATTCACCAAGTACGTCCCCCTGTTTTAGCTCACCGCCTCTTTCAGCCCCCCACTCCCGCCCAGAAATAGGGCAAACATGTTGTAGGTGAAAACGTTAGGCTTTGGAGAGACGAGATGAGTGCAAACGGTCCCACTGCTATCGAGAGAGAATTCAGGTCTTTCTCTCTGTTCAGTGTTCATCCCGTTTTATACCATAAGGCCTCTGCGGATATGCTAGTGCCCCAAGGTTGGGGTAAGAAACACTGACAAGCCGATCTCTTTAACTCCGGCTCTCGCTAGCGGTGTTACTTTACTTTGGGACCCTATTAACTTTTCGGAGCCTCGAGTTCCTCGGCTGCAAAATGGCCCACAATCGATGTTGACCTCCCGGGGCTGCTTAAAGGATAACATGAGGTGCGAGCTCACCATGCAGATACAGAGCGTCTGAGCGCGTATTTGACGCCTTGCGGAGAGGTCGCCGAGACAGCGGCTCTCCCGGGCCCGCAGCGGGGCGCGGGCCTCCCGGTATCTTGCAGCACCTGCGGCAGGACCGAGGGAGGCGTGCATCAGACTGCTTCTCTGGCTGCTTCTTGCTTGTGCACAGGTCGATCCGGAGCCGCACTCCCAGCCCTGCCCCGCGCAGCCGCAGCCGCAGCCGCAGCCGCCCCGCCAGCCCCTCCACCGCAGTGGCCAAGGTCAGGAGCCCGTCGCCGAACCGCGCCAAAGCGTCCAGCGTGGCGCGCAAGGCTGCCCTCCTGTCCCGGTTCAGCGACGCCTATTCCCAGGCCCGCCTGGATGCACAGTGCTTGCTTCGACGCTGCATCGACAAAGCTGAGACGGTGCAGCGGATCATCTACGTCGCCACCGTGGTAGGTGACGCTGCGGCGGCTGCGCGCAGAGGCCCTGGGGCGCAGCGGGGAGACGGCTGTGAACAGGACGGCTTGGGAGGGCTGGTTGATCCTGGGGTCGCGGGAGGAGGGCGGCATGTCCATTTGCTGGCAGGCTGGCTTCCTGCCCTCCTTTCTTCCTTGGCAGATATTGGGGATGCATAGTTTTTCACAATCACGAACTATTCAGATATACTGATATTTCTATCGACCAGATATTTGTTGAAGAAATATCCGTAAGTACAGGATTATCTCAAATGAGTATATGCTGTGCTGATTTGCACTGAAATTTCCAATGTGTGCCTAGGTGCACCAGTGGGGAGATGTTACTGCTGATGGCTATCACGTGGTTGATCTTTTGTTCTCAGAAAAATCAGAAGACTGTGCTTGTGCTAACTCTTCTGTTTACTTAACTGAGAGTAGTTACTGAACCTGCTGGAGTATCAGCTACTTGAGTACGGCGGATTAAGAGTGCTCATATATAATCCTTAATTCCCAAAGCAAATGTATTCGTTCTAAGAGTCCGTTAGGAGAAATGAGTCCAGTAGGAGTCCATTCTGACAAATGAGAACAGTTAATATTTATTTATTTATTTATTTTTAAATTTTTTAATTTTTTTTTTCAAGGTTTATTTATTTTTGGGACAGAGAGAGACAGAGCATGAGCAGGGGAGGGGCAGAGAGAGAGGGAGACACAGAATGGGAAACAGGCTCCAGGCTCCGAGCCATCAGCCCAGAGCCCGACGCGGGGCTCGAACTCACGGACCGCGAGATCGTGACCTGGCTGAAGTCGGACGCTTAACCGACTGCGCCACCCAGGCGCCCCGAAAACAGTCAATATTTAAAAACAAAACAACACGCTGGTGGGACAGCAGCATTATCAGGGTCCACTGAACTTTATTCTGCATTAATTTATTTCAGAGGTCAGCAAACTATGACCTGTGGCCCAGATCTTGTCCAGGCCCGTATTTCTAAGAAAAATCCCACTAGACAGCTAAGAATACAAGAATGGTTTTACATTTTTTAACAGTTGCCAAAAAAAAAAAAAAGTGACAAGACATTGTATGTAGTTTAGGGAGAGTTTGGAATATTTACTCTCTGGCTCTTTACAGAAAAACGTTTGCCAGCCCTGGCTTATTTCATTAAGAAGTTAGGATTCTAGGGTGTTTCACGAATAACTGAATTTTCCCAGTGCCTACTACATGACATGCATTTAATAAATATTTGTTGAATTAACGTATGCCAGGAAACATGCCACAGACACCTGATATGTGTCTGTGTATAACGTAAACACTAGATTGGTAATTTCATTTCTTGACCAGTTAATATGATATTGCTGTGGGATCATAGACTCCATCGGCACTTTTTAAGTGTTTATGCAACCGCAGGCCATCTCTTTCCTTAAACCTCTGCACTGTCCTGCCTCCTGCACTCGGGATTCCCGGAACAGTGATCACCTGCCTGGGAATTAGTGAAGGTGCATAGTCATATATGTATTTGTGTACTTTTCAAAACTGAGGTCTGTGTTTTCTCCCAGATTAAAATCAGTTTTGATCAACTGTGTTTAGTTATCGGAGGACCCATTTGCTGTTGAATCTTTGGTGGGTATTCTTTCTTCCTTACCTTGGGCCTCCGTACTTCCCTTCTTCTATCTAATAAATCTGCTGCATTTTTTACGTGCAGGAGGCGTTCCACGTCGCTAAAATGGCATTCAGACACTTCAAGATCCGTGTGAGGAAATCGCTGACACCATCTTACGCAGGGTGCAGTAACTTTGAGGATGCCGTCTCGGATTATATCATTTGTCATCTGGATCTCTATGATTCCCAAAGCAGTGTTAACGTAAGTGGTGGGTCTCTTAGTGGGACTGGTTTTCTGTTGCTGCTCTTTACATGGAATACTAATAACTCAGCAATCCATCCAGTGCTTAGTACTGCTTTTATGTAACAGAATAGCGTCCGATTTACTTTGTAGAACCCGGCATGCTTGGCGGTTTCTTAGACATTTTACGGGGGAAAAATAGTCCGACCTTTATAGTTCTCTTCTTTAGACGAGCCCTTAAGATTGGGGATAGAATACCATGGTGCTTAAGAGCCATGGCCTTGGGGAAGACAGGTGTAGATTTGCACTCCTAGTTCTGCCACTTGCTGGCTGTGTGACCTTGCACGTTTACTTAAAAACCACTTTGTGATTCAGTTTTCCAGTCTCTATAGCAACAATGGTCATCACCCTCATAGAGTTCTTGAGAGGATTAAATGAAAAAAAGCAAGTAATTTGCTTAGCACAAGACCTGACACATGGTAAACGCTCAATAAGGGCAAGCTTATTGTTATTGCTGTTATTATAGATTATGAGCACGTTGGCACATCTTCTACCTACCCAGAATAGAAACATAAGGAAATAATAAATAAAAGCCTCAAAGGGTGTTTTCTTTTTTTTTTTTTTTTTTTGGGAGGGAGGGGATTCTCTTGGCCCTTTTGTAGGTCCTCTGCATCATCTTTCCTCCGGTCTCTAGCAGTGAGCCTTTCTCCTTTAACACATGTACAGCTTTTGTAGTTTACGAGCTCTTTCCCACCCCCCACCAGTCATAACCTCTTTCGGGTGATGGAGCTTCTTGTCACAGGTTGGTAACAAGGCAATGCCATCTCTTTGTTTTTCAGGACGTGATCCGAGCCATGAATGTCAATCCCAAGATTTCATTTCCTCCTGAAGTTGACTTTTGCCTCCTCAGCGACTTCATCCAGGAGATATGTTGCATTGCTTTCGCAATGCAGACTTTAGACCCACCCCTAGATATTGCATTTGGGGCTGATGGAGAGATTTTTAATGATTGCAAGTAAGAGACGTAAGAAACAGAAGCTAAGGGATTTAAAAAAAAAAATCAATCTGTATTTCCTGGAAACAATTTAGGGCAAAGAACTCTGGGTGGGGAACTCAACAGATGTGACCTGACTTCCAGGTCCTGCCGTATACTTCTCTGTACTACAGGGCAGAGCCTTCTCCTGGGGTTTATTTTCTTTCTCAGTCAAACATGATTCAGAGGTGATATTATGATTTCCATTGAAGGTATTGGTCTTGGGCAGAACTAATGAGTACCCGAAGCCTGTCTGGAACCCTTTTAAAAAGGGTGCTATGTAAATACAAGTGTGTATTACTTTTTATTTGTTTCTACTGAATTATTTAGGCCAGGTTTCTCAAAGTATGGCCTATGGATCACTTGTGTCAGAATTACTCAGATCTTGTTAAAAAGGCAGATTCCTGGATTATACTTCATGGTATTTTATGCAGTACGTCTGGGATGGCGGTCAGGAATCTGACATTTAACAAACACCTATATGTGTTCCTTATGCGCACTACCATTTGAGAATGACTACTGTAGACTTTCTGGGACCATTAGATTTCTTTTTTTTTTTTTAATCTTCATTTATTTTTGAGAGAGGGAGACAAAGTATGAGTAGGGGAGAAGCAGAGAGATCCAAAGCAGGCTCCGGGCTCTGAGCTGTCAGCAGAGAGCCCAACGGGGGGGCTTGAACTCATGAACTGTGAGATCATGACCTGAGCCGAAGTCGGATGCTTAACCGACAGAGCCACCCAGGCACCCCCGGACCATTAGATTTCTATCAACTTCCACATGATAAGTATTTTTTATAAACCAGAAGAAATTAAATGAACTTAAAACATTTTACTGAAATTTTATGGGATCCAGTGATATGGCTGGGGACTATTGGGAGGAGGCCAAGCTTGTGGTTAAGAACACTCTGAGGCTTGAGGTCTGAGGCTCTGACATCAAGCTGCCTGGGTTCAAATCCCAGTTCTACCACCAATTAGCTATATAATCCAGGGCATGGTACTTAATTTTTCTGTTCCTTAGTGCCCTCTCTGTCAAATGGGAGAAGTAATAATACCTGTTTCCTAGGGCTGGAGAAGGTTAGTTGAGCTCATTCAGATAAAGTACTTAGGACACTGCTTCGTCTGTAGTCAGCACACAGGAAATGTTAGCTCTTGGGTCTTTGTTCAGCCCGTAGAGTCATAGGGTGGTGGTGGCCCAATATCCCTACAAGCTTGTTAACGACAGAGACTGCATACCTTTCCTTTGCCTCTCCAAATCACAGTGATGGCGTTTCCAGTCACCTTCTCGCTTGCCATATTTTCCTGCCATCGCCCTGTTTCTAGTTTCTTTCAGATCATTGCTCCCAACTCGTGTCCACTCTTGGAAGAGCTGGAATTAGGACGTCACACTGTAGTTGACCTTTTTGATTTCCTTACGGAACACTTTACTTTGTGCAATCTGCACACTTCACAGACCTTGGGGGCCTCCGGCTTCTATGCTTTTCATCAGAGGGAACATGTTGCCCCTTGGGGCACTCTGTAGCTGATACCTCTGGAAAGCTCTAAAGCTAGAACTGGAGTTCCTAACAATGCCTGAGGATTTGGTTCTACTTCACGTACTTCAGAGAACAAGTGTAATCTTTTTTTTTTTTTTAAACCCTGGCAGCCTTTCACATATTCGAAAGCAATTGCTCAAGTCTTCCTTCTTCTGGTCTCATGGCTTTGGGCTTTTCCATATAAAGGGGGTCTGAGACTTCTTGAGAAATAGATGGGTGTCTTTGGCCTATGCTCCATGCTCTTCTGAATATTCCTTGTCACGTGTCCACACTGAAAGTAGTCCCCTGTTTTGAGCTGAGCAGCCTGGAGGGACCAGTACCCTTATTCTCTATTAATTCCGCTAATTTGTACTCATTTTTTTCTTTTCTGTTTTTTTTTAAGTTTATTTATTTTGAGAGAGACAGAGACAGTACGAGTGGGGGAAGAGCAGAGAGAGGGAGAGAGAGAAATCCCAAGAGACTTCGTGCTGCCAGCGCAGAACATTGGTGTAAAATTTTATTTTTTATTACGCTTAGTCGAGGTAAATATGGATACCGATTCTGTTATTGAAGAGATGGTTGCGGGCTTTCAGAATAGGAACCGGTGATAACAAGCACCCGACATGGACTCACATAGAACAAGTCATGTGAGACTGAACTTATTCCTTCCGTTCTCAGGGTTGTAAGAGTTACAGTACAGGACAATTCTAGAGATGGAGATCCTACAACATTGAGCTGAGCAGAGGTGGGGCTCGAACTCGTGAAACTGCGAGATCGTGAGCTGAGCTGAAACCAAGAGCCAGACGCTTAACTGACTGAGCCACCCAGGCGCCCTCCCCAGAAACATGTTATTTTTACTTGTACTGTGGTTAAGTCTTTCGTTTCTCCTATCTGTGCAATGATACACTTCTTAGACTCAATTCAGGACCTCATACATATCCACATTACATGGTATCTTACTGGATTCAGCTTATTGTTCCTGCCTCTTGAGCTAATTTTTTATACCATCATTTGTTTCTTCTTTCCTACCCATCCTTAACCTTTGAGTGATTTTTCTATACTTCGTGCAATCATTGATGGAACATGTTATTTATCAAGGGATTGAGAGAGAGCACCTTCATTCAAGTTCTCATTGACTCATTAATTATCTTACTTTGGATATGGACCACTTTGTAATTCACCTCCTTAAGTCAATCATCCACCTATATTTCTCTTATTTTGCCCACGAAGACACCATGAGAAATGTTGTAGGATGTCTACTGGATTTCAGATGGTCTCCATCTCTAGCGTTTTCCTGTACTGTAACTCTTACAATCCTGAGAAGGGAAGGAATAAGTTCAGTCTGACATGACTTGTTCTATGTGAGTCCATGTCGGGTGCTTGTTATCACCGGTTCCTATTCTGAAAGCCCACAACCATCTCTTCAATAACAGAATCGGTATCCATATTTACCTCGACTAAGCGTGATAACAAATAAAAATTTACACCAATGTTCATTTCTCCAGTGATGCTACATCATTGCTTAACTTCTCTTTCTTGTTCTTTTGTGTGTTTAAAACAGGTACCGTCGCAGCTATGACTCCGATTTCACTGCTCCCTTGGTCTTCTATCACGTGTGGCCTGCTCTCATGGAGAATGACTGTGTCATTATGAAGGGAGAAGCTGTCACCAAGAGAGGGGCCTTTGTACGGTGGCCTTGCATAGTGACAATTCATCCCGAGTGTTTGATTCACAAGTTCGAGAACATTTATAAACCCAGAGATTCTATAGAAGAAGTTCATAAAGAGTTGCTTGATAAGGTTTCATACAAAGGAGAGGAAAGGGACTGGCTAGGAAAGAAGAGATACTTTTCTTTGTTTCTTCCGTGATTCCTCATAATTTTCTGGCAGCAATTTCTCTGTTGCTTTCTTTATAAGATGGAACTCATCATATTTGCCTCCTCCTTAGAAATATGCTGTTATAAGGGCAAAGCTCTTTGAGCTCATCTTATTGGAGGCCCTCTCTCATTCTAAGCATTTGGAAGTGATCAATGAACTTTCAGGAAACAGTTGGCCAAAGTTTCACTGACAGAGATCCATTTTGGGAAATGCCGAATGTCCTCTGTTTTCTCTCCTTGGTATGATGTGTAGGGAAGGGGGAGGGATGGAAAAAAGAAGGCAGAGGAGATGGGGAGAGAGCAGGCAATCAGTTTTGGAGGGTTGCTTCCTCTATACATTGGTTGTAAAATGTTTTTAACATGGTAAATAATTGGGCAGCCTTCAAAATGGAGTAGTAGGTGTGCAAGTGTGTGAGTGTGTGTTGTGGTGAGTGTTGGGTGGCCACAGGGGCTTGGGTATTCTGTATAGTTCCCATGTGGAGTTTTAACCCTGCCCTTCCTGGAGAGAGTTAAGTGGATTGTGAAGAGAAGCTCCTCAGTCCAGTGCAAAGCCACCGTCACGGTGTTCAGGTGCTGGGGATTCAGCAGTGAACAAAAGAGGCCCAAATCCTTGCCCACGTGGGGTTTACATTCTCCCAACACTTGCAAGTTTGAATGCAGGTCTAACAATTTACTCATCAAAACAAAGTTCTAGCACCAAGAATTTGAATATTGCAAAGTTCATTGTAATGGAATTTGTCTGAGAAATACTCTCAAGTTATTGTCAAATATTGGGTAGCTGTAAGAAATGAAGAGTGTATCCCATGCTGATTGCTGCCCAGTAATGGGCAAGTGTAATCATAACAGCAGAACCTCTCATTCTGTGGGGTAGACATTCGTTTTAGGCCATGTAAGTTTTCACAAACTATTGACTATTTCTCTCTTTTTTTAGTGGAATTCAGTGCAACCTGTAAGTCGATGTCGAAGCAGGAGTTTAAGTCCCATCTGCCCCCGTAGCCATGTTGGTTTAAGCACAGTGCGTATCTAACCATTTTTACACAAAGCATCTTAATGGTTGACACTTTTTTTTCCTCAAGAGTCACCAATGCCAGAGGTGATTGTATGTCTATAGGTAGAAAGAGAACTCGTTGCGATAATCCCCAACTAATTTTTATGCTATCTTGGGCTAAGGCGTTTATCGTTCTAGAAAGAAGGAAGTAGAGGCAGTTTTTTTCTTAATTACTTCAAAGAATAATAGTCTTCACTTATTTCATAGTTTTATTTTTGCTTTGGAATGAAAGTGAGCTAATAGATAAAGTCTTCTGAACAGAAGATGGGAGTGATCTGGGCACAGGTCCTTGATTTCTCTTAAACAGATTGTATGAGTTTGGAGAAATTGCTCAAATGGTCTAGATTTCAAAACTGTATGAAGGGCACTGCAGGTATTAATTTTCCACCAAACTTCAAAGTAGGAAGAATAACATTAGTCTCCTTGAGTATTAGTTCTTGGGGGGGATTACTAGTACCTCTTTTTAAGAAAAAGAACAGCAGGGGTGCCTGGGTGGCTCAGTCGGTTGAGCGTCTGACTTCGGCTCAGGTCTGATCTCACTGTGAGTTCAAGCCCCGCATCGAGCTCTGTCCTGATAGCTTAGAGCCTGGAGCCCACTACAGATTCTGTGTCTCCCTCTCTCTCTGACCCTCTCCTGCTCACACTTTGTGTCTCTCTCTCTTAAAAATAAATAAACATTAAAAAAAATAAAAAAAAATAACAGCAAAAACATTTCTGAAAACCAAAAACATTGTTGTGATGTATCACTGTTAATTTATTCAACAAATAATATTTAGTCAATGCCTTTTGAATATAGGGCTGGACCACGTCATGTGAACACCAGATAGGCTAACAATTTGCTGTTTCTTCAAATAGAAATTCTTTAAGTATTTGTTCAGTCTTGTTTTAGGGAGAGTGGTGGAGAAGGAGAACCAGATCTGGCAGGACTCCACTTCTCTGAAATCTCTAGCAATGCATCTCTAGCTATAAACTTCCACAACTCCCTCTGTAAAACAAAACCCAAAATAACTGCCATCCCACTCCATTAATAAGATCTACTTTTCTGAGTTTAGTGAGCATCTGTTATTTCAGCATGCTCTTTATCAAATACTCCTCTATTTCTGATGGATGCTAGATTTGGAGGGGGACACAAAAATGATGAAAACATGGTCTCTTCCCTGAATGGGTTTCAATATAGGAAGATCGATATGATTTGAACAGAGTGACTGAGTGTGGTTTATGCCACAGGCCGTGCAAGAGGCACGAAGGACTAGAGCAATGAGAGAAGGTAGGAAGTCTTTCTGTCCTTGATAGTGAGGAAGGGGATCATGGGGATCTGACTGGTTAAAATGGTTGGAATTTTAATGTGCTGGGACATTGAGGAGAGATATCCAGAAAAGGGAAATGGCCTGAGAATGGAAAAGGCATGTATCTGATACAGATCTTCTGCTTTTGGAGATTTTAATATCACTTACTTATCCATATTCACGAATAAGTATAGTAGGTAAAAGCAAAAGGATAGTGCATTTAGTGGACTGATAAATGAAAAGGAAATCTTGAGAGCTTTATCCTGGAAGAATTACAATCCCCTTATTCTAAGAGGGCAAGGCTTATCCAAAAAAGCAATATTAGAAACCTATAGTGCTTATAGCCATGGCAGATTTTTCCTCTGGATTCTCACTAGAAGACTTATTGGTGGGCAATGTCCCTCTAATAAAGCCCTTTTACATGTTTCACACACCTTCTTTCTCTTTCCTGCTTTGTGCCCAAGGAGAACCAAGTAATTTAAACTTTAGATGAGAATAAAATATATTCTTCTTCTTTTATTTTTTTTTAAATAGGCTCCATGCCCAATGTGGTGCTTGAACTCATGACCCTGAGATCAAGAGTTGCATGCTCTACTGACTACGCCAGCCAGGCATCCCTAAAAGATATTCTTTTCTTTTTTAATTTTTAAAAATGCTTTTATTATTTTTGAGAGAGAGAGAGACAGACAGAGCATGACCTGGGGAGGCCCAGAGAGAGAGGAAGACACAGAATCTGAAGCAGGCTCCAGGCTCCGAGCTGTCAGCCCAGAGCCCGATGCGGGGTTTGAACCCACAAACTGTGGGATCATGACCTGAGCTGAAGTCAGACGCTTAACCGACTGAGCCACTCAGGAGCCCCTAAAATGTATTCTTAACGGTGGAACTGCTGCCCCCTTTCTGTCTCTGCACCCTCCTCTCCTTACAATGACTGGATACACCTGCAAAATATAATACAAATGTTTAGAGTGGCCTAGTTTTTGGCTTATTCGAGGTCTTGATGCATCCAGAACAGCTGTCATCTTTGTTAGTGTTTATTTATCTAAAGTTTGTGGAAGTTCAGAGCAAGAATGTTGCTTGTAGTCTGTTATCTCTGAGCCATAACAGGTTTGTAGGTAGAGGTGTTGGCTTTTGCTTAGTGAAAGCAAAGGTGAGTTTTGGAAAAATGATTCTTTTCTGGCTCCCCAGGGACCTTCCTTAATGGGGCAGGGTTTTGGACACATGACACAATTCATATAAAGATCTGTCAGAGAGTATTCTGTCATTTTAATTTTAATTAATTATAATGCCATTAATTATTATTTTCTGGAAAGCACTGAATTCAGCATGGCCATTCAATGGCCACTGAGCATCCAATCTCCCAGTCTTCCACAGCCATTAAAACAACAAACAAACAGACTAGGCAACTGAGCCCAGATTTCAATCAGTGACACAGTTTAAGCCAAATCGAGCGCCCGTTACTTCAGGAAATATAAGAGGAATCGCACTGCTCAACCTTAGGGGTGACATCATCGTTCTAAAGTACCTCAGAACAACTACCTAGCTGGTTTTAGGAAGAAAATGTGAAAAAGATTCATTCTTTGAGCTCTGTCTACCGTGTAATTAACATTATTCTTTTGTATTTTCCAGGTATCTCGAAGCCGGAGTCCTTCTCCAATAAGATGTGGATTGCCGAGTAAGTGGGATGGTTTAGACGGCACAAGTTTTGTGCTTTTCAATGCTCTTTTTGGTACTCAGCGTTGTGCTGCAAAATGAATGTTTTGCCTCCTAGGGAACATCTTTGAACCCCCCCACTTCGTCCTTTTCATTTCTGGGCCCTCTCGTTGATGGTGCCCGAGCAGGTCCCATGGGTGACACAGAAGGAACTCCCAATCGAGAGGTTTTATTGATGTAACCCCAGATTGACCACCCCAGTTTCATTTAGATCCTTCCAAGAGATATTCTGAGAAAGTGTCCATAATCACGAACTGTTTGTTTTTCTCCCTAGGGTTTTAAAACCACCAGACATGTTACCTTGCCACAGGACGTCTGCAACAGCCAACTTCCCCCGTGCCTCTGTCTCCTGTGTCTGCCTCAGAACTCACTTAAGATAATGTGAAAAGGCAATTCTGTGTATCACTCCACACAGAGAGTTAAATGTTTGGGCTTAGCGTGTTTGTAACTTTCCGATATATTGCATAATTATTTTATAGACACAAATTCCATTAATTTGATAAAAACCATTGCATAGGTGTTTAGGATCATATTCATTTGAAGCAAAGGCCATCTCAGAGGTTTAGGGATTGCCTCCTGAAATGCTAGGCTCTTTTGCAGCAACTATACAAATGCTGAGCCTGACCTGAGCTGACAGAGTCAGTTTAGCTTATAAACAGATCGTAAATATTATAGTGGCTGGTATAGCTTTGAATCGAAAACACTCCTGGGTGTTCTGATGACCTTTTGTTTGGAAGATAGCCCTCATCTCAGGCTGGGGAACTTGGAGTAGGTAGCAGGGGCTCCAGGCTACATGTAGATGGTGATGATTTCGGAGAATAGAGTTCCCTGGCTTGCTTCTCTATGCTTCTCTTCTCTATGCTTCTCCTGCTATCCTTGCTTCCTGCTATGAGGATGCCCGGTTTGGGTTAGCTGGGTGCCAGCATCAAAGCTACTTACCTGAGAGAATGTTCTTGCTTCATAAATGTGGAGCAATGATTGGGCCAGAAGCCAGTTTTGAGATAAGTGGCAATGACCTCATGTTTATCTCGCGGGAATGCTTTATACAGTTTAACGTACATGTTCAGTACAGAAGCTCGCTGGGACGTGTGTTCTACCTACTCCACCTGGTTGGTTGCAAATTCAGACCCCCTAGGAACTGCAGCTGACTAAACATACCTAAACTCAAGGCTTAAAACCAGGGGTACCATTTATTGACTTTGAATGGAGCGAACATACCTCGCTTTCCTCCCTGTGAAGGACTGTTGAAAAATTCGAGTTCAATGTACTGGAATGTAGCTTTCCCAAGATAAGTGATGTTCTTTCTGCTTCTCCCTGCTGCCCCACTTGCCTGTGGCCTTAAACACGGGCTTCACAAATGACTGCTTTTACTGTGTGCCTTTTAGAGAGAAACTCTGAATTGGCCACAGCTCAGTCTCTGCATAAACCCAGTGCCTAAACCGGCACCTAATGCTTTTTAGGTGAAAAAACCTAAAACAAAACAAAACAAAACAAAAACCAGAAACCAAAACCAACAAAAACAAAGCAAAAAAACCTTCTCTGAAGCATCTTGTCCCTTTTGCTGGTAGCTAGAGATAATGGGAGAGACCTTCTCTACCTCTGTCTCTTGGGTCCAAAGATCACCCACTCATTCAGAACTGTGAGGTTAATTTTTCTCCCTCTGTGTATTTTTATGTAGTCATCACGTTGAGGCAAGGCAGCATGCTGCAAGGAGAAGTTGGTATCCAGGTAGCTCCAGTTCTGACTTGGTTATTAGTTTGCCTTTGTGACCTTGAGCAAGTTACTTCACCTCTCTGAGCCTCAGTTTGATTGTAGAGTGAGGAGGTTGAACGAGATCAATGGTTCTCAACCCTCCTAGATTCAGTGCCCCTTTATGACAAATATTCTGATCATTCTGAGATAAAATTCAAAGTTGTTATGATCCAAATGCATACAGACTTTTAAACAATGAGTATAGTGTCCTAACTAATACAAAGCAGAACAAAGGGAAAGCAGTTTTTAATGGTAAGTATTTCAGTAAACAGGCATTGGCATTGCCATTCTAGAAGATAAGTCATCAGATACCTACACCTGTGTAGAGTCATGAGCTACAAATTCTAGGTCAGTGTGTGCTCACACCACAGCAGTGTTGGATATGATATTCTAAAATGGTGGACAACTCTTGGTAAAGTTTTAGATGAGAAACTTAGTTATACCTTGATCTACATAGTAAGTGCATTCCTGGAAAAGTTGATTACATTGAAACCATGCAACTATTACTTTGTGTTGTATGTTAAAGATCATTTCTAAAATCTCACTAGGTAATGAGAATGCATTTTTAGGTGTTGAATGGGGGAACGCATATGCTGATTTGCAAAATGTTCACATGTAGCTTAGTTGATTTGCTCTGTACCCTGTCTGGCCACTTGTCATCTCTCAAGTCTCTGATGTGAACTGTAACCACACAGGGAGTAGTGAAGAGTCAGGAATAACTTTTGGGAAGGATCTACAAAGCCAGAGGAGGCCCACCTATACTCATCTCATCTGGGCATTCACCTTAACCTTAGTAACTTTGAAATGTGAAAAGCTCTTACTTTGTAACTGGTAAATGTCCATGTCTATACTATTGGTTTAGCATCTAAATAATAAAATCAAGAAAAAGAGTGCTTCTGTATCTGTAAATGCTTTCTATCCAGATCCCCACGTTCAGCCATATCCTTTGCCCATCTCCATTCTGTAAGGTCGGAACCAGGGTCACAGATTCATTTAGTAGATAATGGACTCCGCTCCTGCTCTGGGGTTGACCCTGTGAAAGCTGCAATTTTACGTTGTAGCTTAATTGCCGGTTTTAGTTAATACGATTCACAATCCCGTGTCATCATAGTCAAGATGCTGTCTCTGAGTGGTGCTTGGCCATTTTAATGGAGCTTGCACTTACTTGATTTGCCCCTGCAGCAAATTCAGTCATGTGTTCAACTTACAGGTAAGGAAGCCGTGCCCGGATACGCCATGCTGCCTTCTTCCGATGCCTTTTCTTTCAGAATAACATTCTACCGTCTTGTTTTGTTCTGCCATGGCTATTACATCAGTTCTTTCGTTTATTGGTTCGTTCGCTCACACACTCATGAATATTCAGTACCTATTACTAGGGACAGAGTGGTGGACAGGGTTCTGGCCCTTGTGGAGTTCAATGTCGTGTGCAGTTGCACTCTTTGGTGATTTTCTTGTCACTGAGAGCAGATACTGATGGAAGACGGAGAAGAAAATGGGATCAGCACAGCGTATCCATTGAAGAATTCAAATACGTTAATTGGGAGGGCAAATGCCCATATATAAGAAAGTTATGCAAGGAAGTAGGAGAAAAGTGGTGAACTGCATAAGAGGATATAACTTGGTGTAACTCAGTTATGTCATTCACAGGTAAAGTACTCAACCTTTCAACAAATATCTACTAAGCCTATGATCCCCAGGATCATTAATAATAAAATGAGTATGGGGGGGGGGTAACTCATAACTCATCTTATGAGTTACTCTAACACTTATGAGTTAATTCTAACACTTCCCATGACCACAGCAATGTGTTCCACCTGCTATATTCCTAAGCAACAGGGCAATTTGCAGACCAGTCTAATTCATTTCTAGGCACCCCACGTCCTTCATGAGCTAGATTGCGGCCAACAGTGTTCTATAAAGTTTGAGTTGAGTAAGAGATTTCTTAGTGGTATGACTTTGGATAATGTCACACCTATAATTAAGGGCAAAACATTATGGAGCTTTTAAGAAAACTAGTATTACAAACTGCATTAGGTCATTGAAATGTGAGCCCAGGAACCACATGGGTAAGTGACATTCGGGGTTTGCCATTGAAATACCAAAGCAGTGAAGTGTGTTGGTTTTAATACAGTGAGTGAACAGGGGCCTTGAAAATAAAGCAGGAACTAATTTTCTTACTTCAAAATGAAATGTAACGGGACATTTTATGCTTGAAACGTTGCCCACTGGGTGCCAGCATGAATAGTATACTTTCCATAGTATCACTGGCAATTAGTATATCAAAATTGGGCAGCTAACTTAATTTTCTATTGGGTGGGAAACAAAAGAATATGACACATAGGTGTGTTATAGCTTTATTTCAGTAGAGTTTAAGCCAAACTTGTAGTGACGCAAACAAAATAATGTATTGAAATGTGATGTGAAATATATTTTAGAAGAGCTCTTTAGTAATTGGACAGTTATCAGAAGATCTTGAGTGTCATTTGATGAATCAGAACCTTTAGCAATTGATATCTGCCCTTGGAATACTGGGGCTGGAGCATTACATTTCCCTTCTACTGAGTTCCATCTTCTTAGACAAGGGAACAAGTTTCGGAGCTATGTCCTCAGAATAACACAGTTTAGGATTGGCTCAGCTGGGTGAGTCACAAGTTGAAGCAAGAATGGAAACATCATTCATTTAAGAAGACTTTGCTGATGTTGGTTAAATGATGTTCCAGGCACTGTGTTAGGCCTTGAGAATACAATGGTGAACAAGACGTTTGGTTGTGAAGAGAATGTGCTCAGCCCTCGTTGGCAGCATGTACCTATGGGATGGGTCTGTGGTCCCTCTCAAAGATGGACAGTGACTGGTAATGATCTTTTGCTTGGGAGATAATCTTAAGTCCATGATGGTGATGGTGGGTTGCATCAGTTTTCTTTGGGAAATAATCTTAAGTCCATTGTGATGATAGTGGGTTGCATCAGTCTTCTTTGGGAGGTCATCTTGAGTCCACTGTGGTGATGGTGGGTTGCATCAGTCTTTTTGGGAGGTCATCTTGAGTCCATTGTGGTGATGGTGGGTTGCATCAGTCTTCCATGGCACTGTCACCTAGAAGCCTAGCCTTGGTACCCACTGATAGTTCATTAAGGGAGGTTTCCCCAGCATAATGTAACATATGAGGAGAATGCTCTGAGAAAATACATGTGCAGCTTACATCATGTGGCAAGTAGGGCATAAAGGACTTTGTACTCATGCTTAGAAAGGAAGCATGAATGAGAACCAGACAAGGTGCACTGTCAAGATTGAAGAATCTATTTTCCACAGAAGTCATTTCCAGAACCCTCTCAGGAAGGCCTCCCTACTCACTTGCACTTTCTTGGCACATTCTTGACATTTACATTTTAGAGCTTTCCTCAGACTTAGGTCCTTGAAGGAGGCTAGAATGCCAATGCCAATGCTAGAATGCCAATGACTGGGAGCAGTAACCCAAGAGCACAAATGAGGTGTTTGATTCTTTCTTGACAGTCATGTGGATAGAGGGAGAGACAAGGGATGACGAGGGCACTGAGTCTGTGACTGGTATTGGCAGGTTATGGAATGGGAGGGGTTTTCCTTTGTATGGGGTGGTCGAAGGCATGGAAACCAGGTTTCACCTACTCTACTGCTGTATTTGGTGTGAGTCTTACTGGCCAGTGAGGGTTCTGTCTTTCCAAGGGCAGCTTCATCTTAGAAATGGTTGCTACGGACTGGATATTTGTATCCCCCCCAAGTTCATATGTTGAAACCTAATCCCCAAAATGATGGTATTTGGAGGTGGGGCCTTTGGGAGGTGATAGGTCATTTGGGTGAAGCCCTCATGAATAGGATTGGTGTCCTTATAAAAGAGATCCCAGAGAGTTCCCTCACCCCTTCTGCCATGTAAAGACACAGCAAGAAGATGGCTATTGATGAAGGATGAAGTGGGTCCTCACCGGGGACCAAATCTGCTGGCACCTTAATCATGGACTTGCCAGCCTCCAGAACGGCAAGAAATACGTGTTTGTTGTCTAAGGTACCCACCGTGTGGTATTTTTGTTACTGCATCGTAAACGGACTAAGACAATGGTTACCTTTGATCTAAGACCCATTTGCATCCATACTATAGCCTTTTGCTGCAAATCACTTGCCTTGATGGGATATCACTGACCTCTGACTTTTCTTGGTTTGATTTGAAACCGCCTGACTGAGGGGCGCCTGGGTGGCGCAGTCGGTTAAGCGTCCGACTTCAGTCAGGTCACGATCTCGCGGTCCGTGAGTTCGAGCCCCGCGTCGGGCTCTGGGCTGATGGCTCAGAGCCTGGAGCCTGTTTCCGATTCTGTGTCTCCCTCTCTCTCTGCCCCTCCCCCGTTCATGCTCTGTCTCTCTCTGTCCCGAAAATAAATAAACGTTGAAAAAAAAATTTTTTTTTGAAACCGCCTGACTGAAAATAAAAAGAGGGGAGGGGAGGAAAAATTAAAAAAAAAAAAAAACTTTCTGGTTTTCTTTGGTTGGAAAAATGAATTTCTTCCGGATGTTTTAAGAGTGATGGCATAATTTAATATTTATACTTTATATCAATAATTCGACAGAGAGCTAAAGGAGGCCTTTGTTTTCCCAGAAAATCCCCTGGAATACTAATAACAATACTTCATCTGACATTTACTATTAGCCAGACGTTGTGCTAAGCCCTTGGTGTTATTAAGCCTATTTTACAGATGGAGAAGCTAAGGCCCTAGGTCATTAAGTA